TCGACAGAAGCAGTGGCCCCAAGGCAAGATGACTTGTAGAAAACTTAATGTCAGCGGACTAGAGTGCTTCTCCAAGCAGGAATAGTTTGTTGCCAACTTGGAGGGAAAGCTGAGCCAGCTCATGGTTGGCAACAGTAGAACAGAGAAGGAGTGGGCAGCTTTCAGAGATTTGGTGTACAGCACTGCATTTGCTCATCTGGGCCAGAACACTCACAAACATCAAGTCTGGTGTGATGAAAATGATGGAGAAATTCGGAAGCTGTTAAATGAAAAGGAAGAACTCCACCAGGTTTACCAGCAGGATAGTTTATCTGTTTCTTTCTTTCTTTCTTTCTTCTTTCTCTTTCTTTCTTTCTTTCTTTCTTTCTTTCTTTCTTTCTTTCTTTCTTTCTTTCTTTCTTTCTTTCTTTCTTTCTTTCCTTTTCTTTTCTTTTCTTTTTTTTTTGGCAGTCGGGATTAAGTGACTTGCCTAGGGTCACACAACTAGTAAGTGTCAAGTGTTTGGTCTGAGGCTGGATTTGAACTCAGGTTCTCCAGACTTCAGGGCCGGTGCTCTATTCACTGTGCCACCTAGTTGCCCCAGTTTATCTGTTTCTAAGAAGGCAGAATTTAAGCTTGAAGAGATGAAGGAGTCTTGGCTCAGTAAGAAGGCAGATGAAATTGTTCTGTGCTGATAGTAACAATCCAAAGAGCCTTTGTGATGCCCAGAAGGCTATTTCTGGGCCAAAGACTATGGTGCATCTCAACTACTCAGTGTTTATGGATCCCCATTGATTAGTGCTAAGGACATGATCCTGGAGAGGTGGGCTGAATACTTCCGTATTATTCTCAACAGACTGTTATCAATCAATGCTGAAGCCACTGACCTTTTGCCTCAGGTTGAAGTCAGTCCTTCCCTAAGCCGAAGTTCCAACTGAAGAAGAGGTTTTGCATGCCATTAGACTCCTCTCATGTGGCAAAGAGCCTGGTGCTGATTGTGTTTCAGCTGAGATTTATAAGGGGGGGAGTCCACTGATCTTACAAAAGCTGACTGAAATTTTCTAGGTTATATGGCAAGAGGAGGTTATCCCCCAGGAGTTCAAGAATGCCTCCATTGTCCATCTCTGTAAAGGTAAAGGAAGATTGTCCTGTGACAGTCACAAGGGGCTCCCTCTCTTAGTCATTATTGGCAGGATTCTTGCCAGAGTTCTCCTTAACAGGCTGATCCTTCACCTGGAAGATGGTTATCTATCTGAGAGCCAATGTGGCTTCAGAAAGGGCTGAGGAATGGTCGATATGTTGTTTGCTGCTTGATGATTCCAGGAGAAATGCCAGGAGTAGAACAGAGGTCTGTGCACAATGTTCGTTGACCTGACCAAGGCCTTTGATACTGTCAATTATGAGGGCTTGTGGAAAATTATGTTAAAATTTGGTTGCCCAGAGAAGTTCATCTGCATTGTATGTCAGTTTTATGATGGTATGCTTGAACAGGTTCTGGATAATGGAAAATGCTCTTTTCTCAACAGTGGAGTGAAACAAGGCTGTGTGCTTGCTGCCATGCTTTTTTTTGGGAGGGGGGAGCAAGTAGGGTTAAGTGACTTACCCAGGGTCACACAGCTAATAAGTGCCTGAGGTTAGATTTGAAATCAGATCCTCCTGACTCCAAAATTGGTGCTCTGTCTACTGTGTCACACCCAGCTGCCCCTGCTCCCGTGCTTTTTAGCATGATATTTTCAGCAATGTTGCCAGATGCCTTCAATGAGGACAAAAATGGGATCAAGGTCAGCTACTGCACTGATGGTAAATTATTTAACTTGAGAAGGCTACAAGCCAAGACTAAAGTGGAGGGAGAACTGGTGCATGATTTTTTGTTTGCAGATGATTGTGCACTCAGTGCAGCCTCTGAGGCCGAGATGCAACAAAGTATGGATCAGTTTTCTGCTGTTTGTGCTAATTTTGACCTGACAGTTAACACCAAGAAAACAGAAATTCTGCACCAGCCACCACCACACCATCCAAACGTGGAACCATCAGTTACAGCAAATGGAGAAATTTTGAATGCTGTAGATAAATTCACTGACCTTGGCAGTGTGCTTTCCAGGGCTATACACATTGATAATGAGGTTGATGCACACATTGCCAGAGCTAGCTCACTGTTTGGAAGGCTCCAAAGGAAAGTGTGGGAGAGAAGAGGCACTCTACTGCCTGCCACACTGAAGGTCTGCAGAGCCGTTGTGCTGACCTCATTGTATGCCTGTGAAACAGTGCCATGCCAGGAAATTGAATCGCTTCCATTTGAATTATCTTAGGAAGATTCTGAAGATCACCTGTCAAGAGAAGGTGCTGTCAAGGTAAGACACTGAGGTCCTTTCTCAAGTTGAACCTCCAAGCATTCAAACTCTACTGCAGAGAGTGTAGCTCTGATGGGCTGGCCAAGTTGTTCAAATGCCAAACATATGTTTGCCTAAAAGACTATTACATAAGGAAGTGCTCCCATGGAGGTCAGAAGATACAAAAGACCCTCTCAAGGTCACTGGAGAACTTTGGAATCACTAGTATGACATGGGAGATACTGGCACAAGACTGCCCAGCACAGTGCACCCACGCAAGGAAGGTGCTGTGCTCTGCGAGCAAAGCAGAATGTAGTAGCTTAGAAGAAACATGAGATGTGCAAATTTAGAGCCATCTCCACTCCAGATGTTCACGCGGACTCTTTGTGCCTGACCTGTGTCAGAGCCGTCTGGCTTATGTTGGTCTGAGCGTCCAGTCGGACACACTGTACCTTGACTCCAGCATAGTGATGTCATGTCACTTGGGTCCTCTTTGAGCATGAAGGACAGCTGCCACCACCTCCACCAAATGGGATCAGAAAAAAGTAATAACATCTGAATCCCCAGAGGACAATGTAGTGAGGGTAACTAGTGAGAGGTCCTGTGTGGGACTAGCTCCTATACTGCCGAGGCCATTGTGCTGTCTTCACATCTTTGGGGGCAGAAATCTGCTTTGTTTTTTAAGCTAATTTTTTGTGGTTACCCCTCACAGAGCTCTGCCCATCTGCTATAGTTCTTTAGGAAGCAGACCACTTGTTGTGGTGCAGAGTTGCAGTCCTGGCAGAGATAACTCAGTCAGCACGGCTTCAGGACCTGGGCTGGAAAGGCAGACTCCGTCTTTTGTATAGACCAGCCTAGCTGTGTTCAGAGAGGCCCATCCCCAGAAGGCAGGCCACCAGGTATTGAGTGGGATTTTCCATCTAGAGTAGTGGGTCCCTGACATGTGGAAGTAGGGAGAAAGCATGCCTGCCCTGAAGCAGTCCTTGCTTCACAGATTCATTCTTGATATTCAGAGGGGCTGTGGCCATCCCAGAGGCCAGTTCCCCTTCATCTACAGTGGAGTGACAGACTCTTCAGTGAGGGAGCCAGGGACTTCACTCAGGGACCTGTGTGTGTGGCCCATGTCACCCTAAAGCCTCATACATGAGGAATTATTCCCAAAATGGAATTCAAGCGGAATTTTTTCTTTGGAAATACCATGGTGGGCAAAGACATGTGTGGTACATTCTGTTTTTAAAATCGGAGTCACTGAGAATTTCTCAGGGTCCCTAGAGTTAACTATGAATCTTTGATTTTAATAAACTCCTAGAGATTTAATTCTTCTTTGGGGCTTTTCTTCTGGGCTCTTAGGCTGGCATAACTCCTTTCAGAGTCTCTCTGTGCTTTCACTGCAGACTCTGCTCCCTCTGTTCCTTAGAGGTGACTGTGGTCAGCTTCTCATCTCCGGCTTCCTTGTTTTATCCCTCTTCACAACCTGCTCTTCCAAATGCTTCTTGGTGTGATGACTGCCCTCCAGAACAGGACAGTCTTCCCCAACCTGCTCACGAGGTGTTTGTCCTCTAAGGTCATTTGTCATCTTTGCACGACTTTCTTCGTGGACGTGGCTGTCCTAAAAGCGTGTGGAATAGCAGATGGAGTGTTGGTGTGGGTTGCACTGGTGTTGGCAGACTTGAATTTGCATTTTCTGATCCATGTGGGCCCTACAGCACATAATCCTGCGTATTTCTCTATTTTTAACCTCAAATCCTCTGAAGCTGCACAGTGGCTTCAGAAATGTCAGATGTAACAGGTCACCAAGGCCTAGGATTCTAGTTTGTATATCAGTAACCTAAAGATTTGTGACTTTGGTGATGTGGGTACAGTGCATGAGTCTGCTTGACCGTGGTTACTGCTACCCCAAACAGCTTTTCATCTGTTGGCCAACCTTTTGGTGGTGACTTTCTATCAGCAGCTCTGCTTGCTTTGTACTCGAGGGACCATGGGACCCACAGGTGCCCCCATTGTAGCTCCCCCACCCCTCCCAGCTTCTTTTTGTCTATGGTCTTTCCCTTTAGATTGTGAGCTTTTTGAGGGCAGGAACAGTCTTTCTTATTTGTATCCCTGGTGCCTGGACTTGACTCGAGCAATATGATGGAGTAAAAGGCATGCTGGATGGCAGTCAGGAGACCCTCCATGTTGGCCTCATTCTGCCATCTGCTTGCCCCATCCTGAAGAAGTCTGGGGGCTTGGAGTGAGATGATGTGGGCTCAGATTCTTATGTGACCGTGGGAATGTCACTCAGCCTGTAAAACGAGGGCACTAAAGCCCTTTTTGGCTTGAACCTGGCCATGCCTCAGTTTCCTCCTCAGAATGGGCAGGTCAGAATAGATGACCTCCACCATTCTTATAATTTATTTTTCACGTTTATCCTTTTTGGTCTGGACCTGTGATTTCAGTGGTGTGGGGACCACCAAGTATAGAGCTCCTTCTGTGTCCTGAGGTCTGCATTCTTGGTAGTTGAATGGTCTTAGCAAGTGTCCCAGGGCACTGAGGTAGATGGTCTTCCTGACCCTCTGGCCACCGTGCTCTGCTCTCCCCTGTCCCCCCCTGCCCCCATTCATAAGTACCTGCCTGCAGCTGTTAGGGCTGCATATTTAAAAGCAGACTTTACTCCTCAACAGCCCTGATTCTTTCTTTTGTTTGTTTTTGCAGCGGACAGGCCAAGATCTCAGCAAGTGAGAACTTCCAATTCAATAAGACGAACCTCTTCTTTGGATACCATAACAGGACCTTACCTCACAGGGCAGTGGCCCCGGGACCCCCATGCCCACTACCCATCGTGCATGAAAGACAAAGCGACTCAGGTAAGAGCAGGGCAGGAGCGTTGTCTCGGCCACTTCTGCTGCTCTCAGCTTTGGTTTGTTCAGGAAAAAACCTTTCTGTGGCGTGTGGTGAAGTAATTTGGGCAGAAATCATTCTGGTGTAGCCAGAAGTAAGGAGGCCAGACTCCTGGCAGATCGTCTCACCCATTACCTGCAGTGGCGATGTTCAGATTTGACCTCTTCCTCCCTCCCTCCCTCCCTCCCTCCCTTCCTCCCTTTCTCCCTCCCTTCCCTCCCCTCCCCACGGTGCCCAGCACAGAGTAAGTGCATAATAGATCAGCACAAAAGCTTCTGCTGGCATCCACGTGCCCCTCTCCTTCCCCAGCAGGTCTGACCTTTCATCCAGTCCAAGAGACAGTTGCTGAAAGGTGCCGTCCCAGTTGTGTGCATGATGGTGAAAATGTCCTCGGGCTTACAAAGCCTAGAGAGCCCAGGCTCTGACTGTGGAAGGGCCTGTCACTCCCCCCCCGAGGCCTTTGCCTCTGGCCCCTTTTCCATGCCCTGTCCCAATGTCCGTCTTGTGGTTCAGAGCACTTCCCCCAAGTTACTGAGGCGGGCACACACTTTGACCCAGTGTCATGGCTGCCAGGCCCGTCCCCCAAAGAAATCAAAAAGAGCAAAAGTACCTTGGGTAGTGAGAGAGGCAGCTAATTAAATAAGTGCATGGATAAATGAGTAGCCAAACAAATGAATGAATGAATAAAATTGGCAGATGGCTCGAGCTGGTAGGGAGCACGAGGGGCACCGAGCTCATTGAGTGTTAGGGTGAGGAGCTTCCTGGTGTCTCCGTTCTTCAGAAAAAGCTACATTCGGTGGCGTGCGGCCGTGAAACATCGTCCCCAGAAGAATGGTGGTGTCACAACATACAGGCCTTGTTTGAAAGAGAAGCTTAGAGTCGCTGAAAGACTTGCACAGTTTCCCAAAGGCCGTCTGGCCCTTGGGGATCTCCTGGCTCGTCCTTTTGTGGGGTCTGTCCAAAGTGCCCATGCCGGTGAACCTGCCTGATGGGCTGCTCTGGACAGCAGGGGCTTGTCACGTGCTTGACGTGCCCCACGTGGAGAGGGAGCCCAGATTTCATGTAGTAACAAGAGCTTCCGCTTCATCCTCACAACAGCCCTGTGAAGTTCGCCTTGTACAGATGAGGAAACTGAGTCTGACGGACACTGCTAATTAATGCCATCCCCAGGCAAGATTCAGATTGAAGCCAACTGGATTTCAAGCTCAGCACTTTATCTACTGGCGTATGGTTTTGAGATCTATACAGGACATGTTGTTGGAACAGAACCTTTAGGAAGTATTGTACTCCACCAAATCAGGTGCCTTTTTAAAAGTCAAGCACAGTAAGGTCACATACTGTCCACACTTTTTAGTCAGTTGTGAGATGCTGAAGATGGATGGCCTAGTGTAAAATACTGTCGGAGAAAATCTGCCTGTTCCTGGTTCTTGTCTTCATTGAGGATGCTGCTAATCCCCATAGAGATTGTTCTCACAGATTTTTGTGGGGTGGAGTGGAGGCAGGGCTGGGTTAGTCATCCTCGGTGTTTTCTGGCTGCTTTGGTTCGATGAGTTTTGAGTCGCCGTGCCGTCGCAGACCTCCTGGGGCCAGTTTCTCTCTGACTCCGGTTTTCTTTAGCGTCATTTCTGTATCTCTTAGTTTCTGGGACAGGGATGCTGGCTCTTTTGTCATTGATGGAGTGACAGATTGGTTATAGAAATGCTGACATGTCTTTTCTGTTTTTTTTTTTTCCGGTTTCACTCATGGGGTTTGAAGCTTTAGTTCAGAGTACCATGGTGGTTCAGCCTCGTGTAAGGGGCCATTGCTGGGGGTTTCTGATACTTGGAGTTCACGGGGATAGTGAGCCAGAATGGATCATGTGTTTTTCTTTCATTAGACCCCGAGCTGTTGGGCTGAAGAGGGGGCAGAGAAGAAATCCCATCAGCGGTCAGCATCGTGGGGCAGCTCGGATCAGCTGAAAGAGGTAAGCCTCTCATGGTGGTTGTCCATGTGGTGGCCTGGGGGATAACAGACCTTTAGTGGCCCATCCTGGGTGTTGAGATGTGGTCCTTACAGGGAAGCATGAAGCTTCGCCTTTCTAGAGTGATTTACCTGTAGAGCTTTTGGCCAAATCTGTTTCAACACTTTTATTTTATCTCGGCATTTTTCCATTCTCTCCCTCATTTAGTTTCATATTTCCCACTTGGCAGGGCTCCCTCCAAAGGCTTTATTTCTGTCCATGTGACTGTGGACAAGTCAGTTAAGCTCCGGGGTCCTCCCTGGATTCTCCTGTCCATAAGATGATCCCAGTGGCTGAGGCGGTCCCTTGGGCCCCTTGTGGCTCAGAATCCTGGGCTGCTCTGCTGTCTGGGCACCAGGAGTCGCCCCTCGCTGGTCTCGGCCCTCTGTGGGTAGCCAGTGACCCCTCCGCACAGGCTTGTGCTTCCAGGGCCTCAAGCTGGGGGAGTCCAAGTGGGAGGTGCCTCTGCAGTCAGACAGAAGGGCTCTGGAGGCCCCTCCAGAGAGGCCAGGTTTCTCTTCTCTCACTGCTGCAGAGGAGAGGGCGGCCCGCAGTTTGGAGGGCTTTTTCTGGGAGTTTGGGTGCTAATTTGAGGGGCTGACAGGCCGAAGGGTGCAGGGCACGAGGGAGGGTCTGGTAGAGAGGGAAGAGGGCGGTGCAGGGCACAGTCCTGCTCAGTGTGGCTCCTTGTAGAGCTTTGCTGCATAACTCTAGGGCTCATCTTCTCACTCCTTAGGGTCATGGTCCCCCTCAGGGCAGTATGCTAAAGTGGACATGGCTGACCTTAGGAAAACCGGCGTCTGTCAGCACAGTGGACATAGGGTGCTGGGCCTGGAGTCAGCCTCAGATGCATCTTAGCTGTGTGACCCTGGGCAAGTCACCTAGCCTCTGTCTCCCTCAGTTTTCTCATCTGTAAAGTGGAGGCAATAATAATAATAGCACCTGCTTTGCCTGGTTGTTCTGAGGATCAGAGGAAAGTGTGGTATAAATGCTGTCTGTCTTCACTTTTTAAATCTGGCTGTCCCTGGGCAAAAGAGCCCTTCATCTCTGCATCCTGCATCTCAGTTTTCCTGTCTGTGAAAGGGGACAGGGTGGTGATCCGGCCCACCTGAAGCAGAAGGCTGTCGGCCCCAGCCCAAGCTTGGGCCCAGGCAGGATGCCCAGCCCTTCCCCTGGGGTCTCTCCTGCATGTGTCCCTCCTCACTGCTGCCTGTCCCCCTTCTACTTTTCTGGTGCTTCCTACGTGGCAGCTGTTCCAAACCTTCCCTCCTTGTCTCGGACAGTGTCACCCAGTCACGGAGGCTCCTTCTCCAGTCTGCGTTGGAAATTGCCTTGACACCGCCCCCTTCTCTATGGCCCCAGGCTCTCAGGATGCTATGACCTGTTCGACCTGTCCCCTCGACCCCATCTGCTCCCGGCTCCTCCAGGAGCCTGCCTGGCTGATCACCCCTCTCCTGGTCCTCTGGAGGAGGCTTCGCTGCTTTCACATGGGCCCAGATTTTCTTTTAAAACAACCAACAGATCACAAACCCATAACTCTCTCTTTTATGAAAGCTCCCTCTCCTCTTTGTCCCGTGCAGTCTTGCCTGGCCGATCACTTGAAAGTCCATCGGCCTTTCCTTCTTGACCTCTCTGAAGAGTTCGACACTCCTGATCCCCTCTTCTCTCTGGGTTTTTGTGACATTGCTCTGCCTGGCCTCTCCTTAGCAGATTCATCGTCAGTGTCCTGTCCCCCATGCTGGGCTGGGGCCAGGGCCCACATTTCTGTGGCCGGTCCCCTAACAGGGTAAGTGGCCTTCCTGGGCATGAGCTGAAAGCAGACACATTGCATGGAAACCTTTCTGGTTGTATGACTCTGGCCTCCTTGTCACAGCTGTGTGGCGGCCAGCTGCGCTGACGCTCCCGCCAAGACCATGACCTGAGAGGCTTCATTGTACGTGATGGTCCAGGAAGAGTGATTGTTTTTCTGTATTACTGATTGTGTACTACGGTGGTTCCTTGTTTGTTTATTATAATGGGGATGTTCGGACCAGTCTGAGCAGGAATCAGGTCTTCAGATTTTACCTTGTCAAGACTAGGATGGAAAGTTGGAAGGAATGCATCATCTGCTTGTATACAGTACGGATTTGCGGTCTTGGGTTATTTACATTCGAAGCTCAGATGGCCTGTGGCTACACAGTGTGTCATGTCTCTATGTGGGTGCTGCCTATCTCTCCTACATGGTAAAAGCAGGGCTTGGTTACTAGTCTTCCTGGCCCCAGGCCATGCCCCCACTACACCAGGCCACGCCCCCTCTGGCCTCCCCAGCAGTGTCCAGATTGTGGTCGTGTCTGACTGGGAGTGGAAAGAAGCATTGGGCAGGCCTTTTAATTAGACCCCTCTTTGCAGATACTTTCTTTGGCATCCACGTGAAAAGAGGAGGACACTGACATCCACGGATCATGTTCAGAGGCGGGTTCTGGTTGGTGCCCTGGGTGTGGTTTAACAAAGCCATTGGCAGGTGGAGAATAAAGACATTCCTGGCACTGCAGCCTTTGTTAAGGACTCCATGATGGGGACGAGGACTGGGAGTGGTGTCATAAACTGGCTGTTTTCTGTGGGGTTCAGATTTTCCTCACTGCCTGTTGGCCTTCTCATCACAGACCCAGCCACGGAGAACAGGACTGTATGGTGGGGGTCAGGGTCACAGCTAGTGCTGGGGGCTTCTGGGGCCACTCTGTCAGATCTGTGCACGTCAAAGCCTAGCTCTCTTTGGAAGTACAACTTCTGGGTCACCGTCTTTTATTTTTCTTGCCAGTGCTGTGTGTGTGTGTGTGTGTGTGTGTGTGTGTGAGAGAGATAAAGGAATACTAATCTTCATTACATCTCCGAGCATGGAAACTGGCCTTCACTAGCACTGCTTGCAAGTTGTGTCCAAAGCAGGAAAGGCTGGAGGTGGCCAGCCATCGGGCCTGGTGGATTCTTCTGACCTGCTTAGTAGTAAACACCTTTTTGGCCACAGGTTCTTTCAAATGGAATACTTGGCCTCAGTGGGCTTCACCGCATTGGCTTAGGGCTGCATTTGAAGGGTCTGGTAGTGGTCATTGCCTTGAGTGATTTGTAGGTATTATAGGATTCTGTGACTCTTAAGTTACTAATGATTATCTTTGACAGTTGAGAGTTTTAAAAAACAACCGCGATGGGCGTAGGGTGGCCAGTGCTGATGTCGGGCATCATCTCCCGGTTTGGAGGCCACATGGTAGGAAGAACGTTAGCTGTAGACACAGGAGCCAAGTGGTTGAAGCTCCCTGGGCTTCAGGTTTTTCTTCCATAAAAGGGGGTGATAACACCAACGGCACCTCCCTCCCTGGGTTGGTGTGAGGAGAGGTCTAGGTAAACTTCATTGTGTGTGGGGGGGTTCTGTCGAAGAAAAGAGCGACATTTCCATAGAGGACTGAAAGAAGCATGTTTAGGTATTTAGTGGATTGACTGTAGCTCCATTGTTTGAAGGACAGTGGACCAGGAGTTCTGCAGAGGAAAGATGGAAGGGGATGCCTAACCATCTCTCTATCATGCTGCCATAGCAACGGGACCTTTACAGATTGTGCTCTCAATTTGGGCAAGTTTCTAGTGCAGTTACTTTCTCAATTTTTGTTCAGACATCTCCAGTGCCTCAAAGAAAAAGGTGAAGTGGGTTTATTTTTCCAGAAATATCTATTAAATGGTCCACTTGTCATAAAAGGAAAGGTCAGCAAATTTGAATCACTTGACTTTTTGGTAAAGAAAAATGTACAATTCATCTTGATTCAGCACCTCCTGTAGGTACTCTGCCACAAGGTAAGCTGCTAACCTTTGGGTGGTAGAAAAGATGTTCACTCCCCATCTCATTGTGAAGAATCATAACGTTTCCACTTCAAAGCCTCTCCCTCTAAGACTGTCCTCTCTATAGCTTGATTTTGTACATACTTGTTGGCCTGTTGTCTCTTCTGTTGGACTGTGGGCCCCCTGAGGGCAGAGACTGGCTTCTGCCTTCCTTTGTATCTATGCCCAGGGCCTGGCACACAGTAGGCGCTTCACAGATATTGATTGCTGGGTCGATTGCTTGGGTATCCCTTTACCCTCTGAAGACGCTGTCAGGCGTTCACGTTAATGCCCCATGGAGAGCAGAGTGGTCAAACATGCCGGTAGCACCAGCTCTCCGGTGTAAAATGGTGATGGGAAATGGGAAGTAGAGCACCCCAGAGAATGCTGACTTGGGGTTCTTGGAGTCGAAGTGCAGAGGCTTCTCTCCCCGAGCTCACTCCACACATTCAGGGCCAGGATGGGGGTTCTTGGTTTGACCAGGTGTGAGTCCACATCCTTAATCATTTCACCCACTTTAGGCTCATTACTTTCTCATTAGGTCTGCTCGTTTGATCAGGCCACCATTTTTGATGACGGTATTAACAGAGCTCTTCCTAGGAGCAGCGTGGGGAGCCCCTGAAAATGTGGGGATGAGGAGTGCCCAGAGCAGGTGGATTCTTCAGAGAGATGATTTGGGCAGGAATGTGAGGGATGGGGTGGGGCAGGAGGGGAGGGTTGGAGAAGGCTATATGGGGCCATTAGCATCAGGGTGGGGGCTTAGAGGCTTAGTAGGGGCGTTGACCACAGGAGATGTGGCAATAACGATGAGAACATGACCATGGATATTTTCACAGGGTAGCACAGCGGTTATAGACTACACATACATACGCTGACTGCTGTAAACTTTGCTAGGGACTTTAGGTGGTTAACTCAGGTGAACCTCCTGACAGCTCTGTGAGACAGGTACCATCTCCATTTTACAGATGAGGAAACTGAGGCCCAGACAGAGGTGGAAGATTCACTAGGCGCTCGTGTTTGACTTTGGAGAGTCGTGGGATAGTTGAGAGGAGAGAGAGGCTTGATCAGCCTGGGGGCCACTTGGCCCCGTGAATGTTTGTGTGCTGGTAGCGGAGTGCTTGTGTGTGGTTAGCGAGTGGATTGAGGGGAGCCCCGTGCTCACCTGTGCCTCCTTGTTCCTCTTTTCTAGCAGATCGCCAAGCTGAGACAGCAGCTGCAGCGCGGTAAGCAGAGTAGTAACCGGCACAGCCACCGGGAGAAAGACCGCCACTCACCTCTACACAGCAACCCCGCGGCCAGCAGCCAGACTCAGGTGAGCCAGGCCAGTCACGGGCTGTTAGGGGTGTTATCGGGCAGGGGGGCCTGGTGAGCCCACAGCGTCCTTCTCGTGGGAGGAGCGGCGATCTATAACAAGGACAGGATCCCCACAGGTGGATAATCCCAGCAGATCATGGAGGATGGGATGTGAAAAGCTCAGGATGCTAGATTACTTTCTTGTTTTCTAAAAAAGTCTATTTTCTTAAGGCACGAGGGGTTGCCACAGTGCCCAGAGCCCTGGGCCTGCAGTCAGGAAGACTAGAATTCAAATCTAGCCTCAGACTCTAACCATGTGATCTGGGCAAGTCACCTCACCTCTGTCTGTTTCTTCACCTGGAAAATGGAGATCATAGCACCAACTCCCAAGATTGTGGGGAGGATCACATGGGCCAAGATGTGTACAGTGCTTTGCAGGCATTCAAACGTGGAAACAATAAATGCTAGGTATTAGTAATACTATCTTCGGATTTTCAAAATAAATTAAGAATTGTTATTTTGAATCATCCTTGATTTTTCATGGAAAACTTTTGAAGATTTTCTTTAAAGTATCCATGTAAGTGTGGCAGAAACTCACATCTCACACCATATACCAAGATATGGGTACGTGGTTTAGAAATAAAGGGTGGTACCATAAGCACGTTAGGCAAGCAAATAATAGTTTACTTGTCAGGTCTATGGATAAGGGAAGAATTTAGGGCCAAACAAGAGATAGAGAGCATTAGGAAATGTTAAATGGATTATTTTGATTATATCAAATTAAAAAGGTTTTGCACAAACATTGCAACCAAGATTAGAAGGGAAGCAAAAAACTGGGGGAAAATTTTTACAGCAAGTATCTCTGATAAAAGCCTCATTTCTCAAATGTATAGAGAACTGAGTCAGATTTATAACAATGCAAGTAATTTCACAGTTGATAAATGGTCAAAGGATACAAACAGGCACTTTTCAGACAAAAAAATCGAAACTATAGTCATGAAAAAATGCTCTAAATCACTGTTGATTAGAGAAATGCAAATTAAAACAACTCTGAGGTACTACACATATCACACCTATCAGATTGGCTATTAAGACAGAAAAGGAAAATGACAAATGTTGGAAGAGACATGGACAAATTCAACACTGATACACTGTTGGTGGAGTTGTGAACTGATTCAGCCATTGTGGAGAGCAATTTGGAACTGTGCCCAAAGGGCTATGAAACTGTGCATACCCTTTAACGCAGCAATACTACTGCTAGGTCAGTATCCCAAAGAGATCCAAGAAAAGGAGAAAGGACCTAAAATATGTATAGCAGCTCTTTTTATGGTGAAAGTGAATTGGAAACTGATTCCTCATCAGTTGGGGGAATGGCTGAACAAGTTGTGGTATATGAATGTAATGGAATATTATGGTGCTATAAGAAATGACAGGCAGGATGATTTCAGAGAAACTTGGAAAGACTTCCATGAACTGATACAAAGTGGAGTGAGCAGAACCAGGAGAGCATTGTACATAGTAACAGCAACATTGTGTGATGAAGAACTGTGAATGACTTGGCTGTTCTCAGCAATATAATGATTTAAGACAATCCCAAAGGACTCTTGATGAAGCATGCTGTCTGCCTCCAGAGAAAGAACTGGAGTCTGAATGCAGATCAAAGCTTGCATTGTTTCTTTTCCTGCCTTCCTTCGTTCTTCCTTCCCTCCCTCCCTCCCTCCTTTCTTCCCTCTCTTCTTCCCTTCCTTCCTTCCTCCCTCCCTCCTTCCCTCTCTTCCTCCTTTCCTTTCTTCTTTCCTTCCTTTCTTCCTTCCCCAAAATAACTAATATGGAAGTATGTTTTATGTGCTGGCACATGGCACATATATAACCTGTATCAGATTGCTTACCATCTCAGGGAGGAGGGAAGGGAAGGAGAGAGGAGGAGATAGAATTTGGAATTCAAAAATTTAAAAACAAAGAATGCTAAAAATTATTTTTACATGTAATTGGGGGCAAATATTTTTAAAAAAGAAAAGTACCCATTTAGTAGAAGAGCCACAGAGCTGGGGGTGGGAAGCTTATTCCAGTTCCGTCCCTGTCACTCACTTGCTGTGCCTTTCTGAGCCTCAGTCTCTTCCTCTGTGCAGTAGGGATGATCCTGCTTGGAGGCCCAGTCTTTCTTAGGACCATTGGGAAGAATGTATTGCCGTGCTCTGTCGGGGCAGCTACGGGACTTGTCCCTGGTCCTCAGAGGGGAAGATTGGGACGATGGTGGCAGCTTTCTTTCTGAGGATGTGAGGAATTTCCAAGATCACCTTTTCTCAGGCTTGTCTGCTCTTCACCCACCTAGTTAGTAATGAGCAGGGAGGAATTCTCCAAGGGATTCAGACCCAGAGAGTCCCATATGTTCTGTGGGGACAAAGGGGTGGTGGTCCTGGAGGAACTCTCCCATTCACCTTTGGAAACAGAGTTGGAAGGTGCGCTCTTGGGAGAACGTCCTCCACATTTGTCCTCCTCCGGCCTGGCCTCCTGTTGGTGCACTCTTGCCTCTGCTCTTTGTTTTTTCCACCCCGTGTTCCCTGTTCGTGTGTGCATGTGTGCCAAGCCTTTGAAGGCCCAGAACGTGGTCTCTTTGAGCAGGCATGGCGCTGAGCCCAGCACCTAAACAGCTAGGTGCCGATGGACACAGGCTTAGTCGAGGAGGTGCTGGGGGCTGGTCAGCTCTCCATTTCTGCTCCAGAAGAGGCAAGTGAAAACCTTGACCTGAGATGATCTGTGTCCTTAAAAGGGGCTAACCTCCCTGGACTTTGAATGCTCTGTCCTCTGTTCTGTACTACTCAGGCACTTCCCGGAGCCTGGCATGCTGCTCTCCCCTTTTCTGGGGGCTGCTTGTCCTTTAGGCTGCCCTCACGGCAAGCCTTTCACTGGCCCCCAGGCTACTCTGTGCCCCACGCTGAGCCTTTTTGGCTGCTAGCTTCATGAGTTGTTGATCAAGAAGCCACGTGTGATGGAAACTTGAAGGTGCACAATCCCTGTCTTCTCTTCTGAGCCACTGAATTCTGGGGCCTTCCTGCTCATGGACAGTGAGAGAGGGCGGAACTTTGGCGATCGGCCCAGACGGCAGAGCTCTTCCTCCTTGAGTTTCAGGTGCTCTTCGGTTTCAGTTTTCATAAATGATTTGAAAGCCAATCCTGGTTGTCTTTTTAGGTTGTTGGCTCAAGATCGGTCTCTATGCCTCTGTCCAATATCTCAGCACCAAAGTCCGCTGTTTCACGGGTACCCTGCAACGTAGAAGGAATCAGCCCAGAGCTAGAAAAGGTGTTCATTAAAGAAAATGGTGGGAAGGAGGAAGGAGGCAAGGTAAGCGGGCCTGAGTTTCTCTCTCTTTTTGGTAGGTGGGGGCTGGCGATAGGAAGAAAAAATCTGGAAAGGTTCAAAATGTCTGAGGAATGTTTTCCCAGTAGCTTCCCTCCTCAAGGTAAAGTCTGAATGTCCTGCACCTCGCCTTGGGCTGGCTCATCGGCCCTAAACCCAGAATCTGTGTTTAAGCTGGAAGCCTGCTCTTTTCTACCCAGACAGAGCAAAGCCGGGGAGGCTTCAGCCTCACATTGTTAAAAGTTTGTGTGGCAGCAGATGTGACGTAGCTCTCTCTGAGCCATGTCTTGAGGTCCTCTGCCTCTGCAGCTGGCTCCGGAGCATTGGTAAATTCGTTCGGGAGACACTGACTGTTCAGCCAGGCCAAAGAACGGATCTCTCTTCATGCTTTTTACTCCTAGCAGTTATTTGGAGGTTGCTCCATTGAAAAACCCCGTGTCATTTGTCTCTTGGCATGCGTGGTCCCCAGGTCGCAAGGACACTGGCTCGGTGCTCAGAGCATCAGAATTCAGACCCTCCCCTGATGCTTCCCGGTCGTGTCCCTCTCTGGGCCTCAGTTTCCTCTTCTGTAAAATGGGAGGACTGCACTCCGTGGCCCCTGAGTGGGATCCTATGAGCGTCACCCTTGTTTGAGGGAGAGAGCACAGTGGGACTGTGTTGGGGAGTGAAGTGGATCAAGAGAGCGTCCGGAAGCAGAAGTGCTATTTTATAATTTTCACGTGAAGTTTCCTGGAAACATGTTTTATTAATGTTGTGGCTTAGTCACCAAGCCCTTGTTTAGTGCTGCCGTGTGCCAGGCATTGTCCCTTGATCAGGAATCTCAGGGCAGAGTGACCTTGGCAGGATCTCCTCTGGCCTTCCCCATTCTCCGCTCCTTTGACCACAGCCCGGGTGGAGTTCAGGCCCCCTCTTGCCTGCACGCTTACAAGAGCTTCCTCAGTGACCGCAGCGTAGACCTGTCCCTGATGCCTCAGGATCGCGTACAAAAGCCCTTCGCAGCCTGGTTTCAGGCTGCTTTTCCAGCCTTCCTGGACCTGACTCTGCTCTGTATGCACTGGGGTCCAGCCAGACTGCTCTTGCTGCTGTCTGTGCCTGAGTTCACTGAGCAAGCCAGACCTCTGTCTGCCTCAGTTTCCTCAGCTGTAAGATGGGAATTATAATGGGGGGGGTGAGGATCAAATGAGATTATGTTTGTAACATGCTTAGCACAGTGCCTGGCACATAGTAGGTGCTTAGAATCCCTACTTTCTTCCAAGCTCAGCTCAGGTACCAGCTTCTTCTGTTGGAGGCCTTTCCTGATTCCCTTTCCCCTCCAAATGAATGTGTTATTTTACATTTATTTTTAATATGCTTATGTTAGTACCTATTGTCTCCTGGAGCTAGAGCATAAGCTCTCTGAGGACAGGGACGATTTCACATTTAACTTTGTATTCCCAGCACCTTGTACAGGGCCTGGCACTCAGCCTGGATAGGTAGAGACAGATGAAGTCTTTAAAAGCCAAATGCACAAGTTTGTAGTTGACTCGAAAGGCAGTAGAGAGCCCCAGAAGGTGTCCGAGTAGGGGACAATGCTGGTCAGGTCTTGGTTTTAGGCACAGCACAGGGGGAAGAGGCCCTGGCTCTGGAGTGGGCTCTGATGCCATCTCGGATATGTGCTCTGTGTAGTGTTCCTTGGCCTCTTCTCAGGCCCCAGACCCTCATCTCTGAAAGGAGGGGGCTGGCCAAGCTGGCCACCAAGGTCTGTTCTAGCTCTCGACATGCGACGCAGCGATTCTGTGAATGTCCGTCTGCCTGGCAGCCATGTGGGAGGTGGTGTAGAGGAGGGACGGTCAGGTGCAGAGGCTGGTACAGTAGCCAAGAGGAGAAAGGATGAGGAGCAGAGGTAAGGGAGAGGCTGAAGAGGCATTGACAGCAGTGGTGGACCCCTGGTGGGATTGTGGCGTGAAGGAGAAGGGAGTGTGCAGATGACTCGGACATTTCAAAGCAGCATCACTGGAAGGATGGCCATACCCTCAGCGGAAATGGGGAAGGTTGCAGGAAGACTGTGAGGCTGGGGAGTGGGCATGCTGAGTTGAAGAGGCCTGTAGGACAGATGCATAAAGATGTCATGGGAAATGAGCTCAGGAGAGAGAGGAAGGTTTAGCTCCACAGATTGGGAGGTTGATCCTGTGATGGGGAGAAGAGATGAAGAGGGACAGGACAGAGCCTCGAAAGATGCCTTTGCTTAATGTGCATAAGGAGAAGGACAGTCTAGCAAAGAGGCCCTGGAGGGGTCGGGCAAGGAGGTAAAGGGTCCGAGGAGAGCAGGGTCATGGAAGCCAAGAGAGGAGCATTCCAAGGGGAGCATCAGGTGGTTAGTGTCCAGAGCTACGGAAAGTTCAAGAAAGATTCTGATGAAGGCAGGAGAGGGAAGGCATGGTCCTTGGCCATTAAGAGATCATTGGTAAGTGGGGAGAGCAGTTTGGGGAGCCACAGTTGGAGAAGGGATTGGGAGGTGATGCAGTGGAGGCAAAAAAGTGAGAAATCCATAGAGATGGTCATATTCTCAGTCTTTCCATCACCCTCAGATGTACCACCTCCACATTCAAGAATTCGGAAATCCTCTTATCTGACCATAATCTATTGGCTTTCCATCTCCCCTGACTCTCCCGTATCAAAGCCTACTCTTCACATGCACCATGACCTCCCGTCCTTCGACCTCTCCGTTCTCTGCCAGGCCTGCTCCCCTGCACTAGTTGCTCTCTTGACTCCTTGGAGAACCAGTTCAGCGCCACACTGACCTCCTGTGTCTTCTTCTTACCAAGGCCACCCCTCTGCCTGCTCAAGCATTCCCCTTCCATCCCGTCTCCTCCAGCAGACTGCCCCTCTTCATCTCTGCTCTGTCTCTTATTTTCAGTCTGTCCCTCTCTGTGGAGCTCCTTCCCTCCTGCCCACAAACATGCCCATGTTTTCCCATCCTGAAGAACGCCTCAGTTGATCCTTCCATCCCTGCCATCGTGTTCTTTCTCATCTGCTCTTTATAGCTGAACTCCTCAAAAAGGCCATCTACAGTCGGGGCCTCTGCTTTCTCTCCTCTCACTCTCTCTTCACACCTTACAGTGTGGCTTCCAACGTTACCCTTTCACCCAAACTGCACTCTCCAGAGTTACTAATGATCCCTTAGTAGCCAAATCCAGTGACCTTTCTTCATCCTCATTCCCCTTGACCCCTATGCAGCCTTAGACACTGTTGGTCACTCTCCCCTCCTGGATTCCCTCTTCTCTCTAGGTTTTCAGGCCACCCTGTGCCCTCTCTCTCTCTCTCTCTCTCCTGGTTCTCCTCCCTCTCTGACCGCTCCTTCTCTATCTGCTTTTCTGGATCCTCCTTCAGAACATGCCCTCCGACCCTAGATGTGCCTCAGAATCTGCCCTGGGTCCTCTGCTCCTCTCCCTCTGCACTCCTTACCTCACCTGGTGAGCTCATCAGCTCCCACGGATTCAGTGACCATCTGTGCTGATGGTTCTCACCTCTGCCTGCCCTGTCCTGCCCCAGTCTCCCTGCTGACCCCCAGTCTCTTATCTGCAACTCTTTCAGACATCTCTATCTGGATGTTGAATAGACATCTTAAACTCAGTATGTTCAAAGCAGAACTTGTGATCCTTCCCCCTACACCCTTCTCCCTCCTTGCTGTCGAGGGCACCCTCATCCTCCTTGTCCTCCAGGCTCCCAACCTAGGAGTCCTCCTGCCTCACTCTCTCTCAACGCCCACATCCAGTGTGGTGCCGAGGCCTGTTGATGTGACCTGGGCGGCATCTCTCAGATGGCCTCCCTTCTCTCCTCTGACCCCACCCCTGCCCTGTGCAGGTCCTCATCCCCTCACACCTGGGTGACTGCAGTAGCTGTTGGGAGGTCCTCCAGTCCACGCCAGCCCCCCCTTCATTCAGTCACCCAAGAGATTTTCCTATTGCACAGCTCTGACCGTGTCATTCCTTTACTCAGTAAAACTTCAGCGGCTCCCTGTGGCCTCCAGGGTCAAATACAAAGTGCTCTGTTTGGCCTTCAGAAGCTTTCACAGTGGCCGTGCCTACATTTCCAGTCTTGTCCACCTTGCTTCCCAACACGCACGCTCTTCAGTACAGGGCCCCTGGCCTCCTGGCTCTCTTGGCTCTGGGCATTCCCTCTGGCCATGCCTCAGGCCCGGAACATTGCTCTCTTTGTCTCAGACTGCTGATCTCCCTTTCTTGAAGTCCCAGCTAATATCCCACCTCCTACAAGAAGCCTTCCCCAGCCTCTCTCCATTCTGGTGCCTTCCCTCTTATAATTGTTCCCTACTTATCCTGCATGCCTTCTCTGTATATATTTGTTTGTATGTTGTCTCCCTCATTAGATAGTAAGCTTCTTGAGGGCAAGGACTGTCTTTTGCTTCTTTTTGTATCCCTAGCACTTTGTACAGTGCTTGGCACACAGTGGGCACTTAATAAATGTTTATGGATTGATTGAACCATGTTCTGTAATTTTGACAAAATGCTAAGTCACTGGCCTGTAGCATCTTCCGTTTGTTCACCCCTCCCCACCCTTTTTAAACCAGAACAGTGTTTGCCTTTTTCCAATTCTTTGTTCACTCTGCTGTGAATTGGCATGCCTGTCAGGAGCTCTTTTGGTGTCCAAGGAGATACTTCCTCAGGGCCTGGCATCTGCCCTCCCCCGTGGCAGCTCCATGCTGGCTTATCTGTCTCCTTGGACGTTGTGGGGATCAGCTTCCCACGTGCCATTTTTGTTCTGGAAAGAAAACGAAGGGCCTGTCGGAAATGGGTGTCTCTGCTGTCTCTCTGGACTGGTGTCCCATCCCAGCCCTGACAGCAGGCCCGGCCCTTCCCAGAGGCTGTGCTGTTGTTCACTAGAGCTTACGCTGACCCTCCCAGCCTCTGGGAATAGCCTTCCAAGTGAACCGAAGGAATGAGCCCAAGCACTTTTTGAATTCGTGTCTTTGACTTCCCAGACCTTGCATTTTGGTTTTGCTTATGTCAGACATAGAATTAAAAAGCTTTGGATCTCACCTCTTCTGCCTTCCTGCCCTCTGCCCTTGGGGCAATTTCTGAGAGCTTTGAAATGGCTCTCGCTTGGAAAAGGGGCAGAAGAGAAACAAGAGTGAATAGGAATCACTGATGAGACTGGCTTGGGCTCAGCTGTGCCTGAGAGTGGAAGCTTGACTGCCAAGTCACAGGATGATTTCCAGTGTGTTTACAGTTGGATGCGGAAATGCTTTCATTCTACCAGGAGCCAGGCGAGGTGATGGGAACACAGACCAGTCCCCTGGCAGGGTTTCACACAGGTGACAAAATGCAAGATAGTTAAGGCAGTGCCAGGGAACCGACTTTTCCAAACATAAAAATGTAATCTGTGAATCGGTGTGCAGCAAAGGCGTATTTACTGAGATCAGCCAAACTGGGTTGGTGAAAACGTTATCCCAAGGTCAGGTCACATCCTCAAGTGCTTACTGTGGGCCAGGCACTGCGCTAAGCTTGGGGTAGAAGGAAGGGTGGAAGGAGGCCCTGCTCTCAGGGGACATCTCCGTCTCAGACGAGACATGGAGAGATCAGGCACCAGGCACCAGGCACCGTGCTGGAGGGAACTCTGTTGTTAAAGGGTATTTTAAATGATTGCTCCAAGCCAGAAATCACTCGGGAATTCCAGCTAAGGTGCCCGGCTATTCAATAGTGTCAGCAGAACACCCAGCACCAGTTTAAAACTCAAGCTGAGACATTGGGTGTGGCATTGACAAGGCAAGTGTCAGCTGTGGTGCCAGGCCCGGCCTTGGGGCATGCCATGGGAATGGAGAAGAGAGGACAAGAGCCCAAGACGTATCTCGGTGATGGAGAGGACGTGTTCCGTTTGTGAGCTGGTGGTGCTTCTGGGGGTCAGTGAATGGAAGGGCACCTCGAGGGGCTGGCGCCATGGGCGTGGGATCCCTAGAGCCTCAGCCAGGTCGCCGGGCAAGCCTTCCCCAGGAAGGTACCCACCCAAAGGCAGGTGGGCTGCGGGAGTGACTTCTTGGGGCGCTGTTTGTATTTCAGCCCCTGGACATTCCTGATGGCCGCCGCGCCCCACTGCCCGCCCAGTATCGCAGCAGCAGCAGCAGCGGCACTCGCAGTGTAGACACGCAGACGCCATCGGTGCCAGAGCGCAGCAGCAGCTGCAGCAGCAGCCACTCGCCCTGTGTGTCTCAGGACGGCAGCCCGTGCTCCACTGAAGACTTGCTCTATGACCGAGATAAAGGTGAGGAGGGCCCAGGCCGGTGCCTCGGCACGAGCCGCCATCACTTCAGCTTCTTGCTCTTGGGGGAGAGCGGAGGTCGTGCTGGGAGGGGTACCCATGACCTTTGCTGGCCTTTCCTTCTTGCTGGTTTCCTGACCCTCCTTCAGGTGATTTTCACAAACATCCTCCGCGAATGCCAGAGAAGGAGAGCCTGTGGCGAGGTGCTGCCTGTGGCAAGGTGCTGCAGCTGTCTGGGGAGGAAGGCTACGAAACAGAGTGTGCAAAATGTTAGGGCATATGGGTCCATTTGTCGCTGTTCTGGTTGATTTTGCTTTTTGTCGTGCTTCAGAGTACATTGGTGAGTCAGAATTGTTGGGAGGGAAAACCACGTCAAAAGAAAACTAAACAGAAAATCCATTTGAGTATTTAAATGCCAACTTTTCTAAATGTCCGATAACTAGAAATATGAAAACTGATAACGTAGCAAGTGACTCAGTTGTCCTGCCTCATTTCAGGTAAGGCTTTTGTAAGCTCTTTAACTGTAATAATAATTGTAATAACACCTCCCCAGTCCCCTCCCCCCTACACCCTTCTCAGATGACAGCCTTCTAACTGCCTCACAGCCCTACGATCCCTTCAGGCATTAGTGCCTGACTCATGTCAGCCCTTAAGGAGTACTTACTCACCAAGCGCCGGACCAGCCAGCCCTGGCCACCTGTTACTGGCAGTTCCTTTATTATTGTTATTGTTATTATTATTATTATTATGTAAAGATGAATGGGAAATTCACCATAACAGTACTAATGTGTGTATTGTGTTAAGGCTTCAGAGTGCTGGGCATCTGTTACCCCCTTGGAGGCTCACAACAGCCTGAGGAGGCAGGGTCATTGTGCCCATTTTTCTAGATGAGGCTGAGGGAGGTCCCCTGGCCTGCCCAGCTCACGAGGCTCAGAAGCATCTGAGGCAGGATTGAACTTGGGTCTTTTGGCTCTGAGGCTAGGCCTCTCCCCACCATGCTCAGGAGCTTCCTTCCCAGATGGCCTGAGTGTGTGGCCTGTGAGCCCCTTTGGTGGGCTGTGGTGTTGTGGCGTGGGGCAGCCACTTGGGCCGCCCAGGCCTTCAGCGCCAGTGTCTGGCCTCTCGCCCTTCTTCCTCCTGCCGTCCCCTTCCTGGTCGAGTCACTGTTTCCCAGACTCTCTTTCAGGGAATGGTTTGTTGAGTGGTGACTGACCAAGATGTGTCCTGGTGTCTCCTCACAAGTCTTTCCAGGTAGAATCCTGGTTGGACCGAGGGTCAGCAGCATTTCTGCTTGGACGTTTGGTGTTCCTCAGTGCCGTGGGGGAGGAAGGTGGGGAAGGCCCCTTTGAAATCTGGAGCATTTTGTGTTTTGTTTTTGAGATGCCTGTGTTTATATTGATGAAGATTCAGTATTTTAAGCTGATCTTTTTATTGTGAAGTTTCCATTTTTAAACTTCTGGTTCAAATGATGTCAAATGCCCACGATTCCTTCCTGTGCCGTTTTTATCGTTCAGCCTAGGGATGGAAAACGAATCAGAGGGAATGCCTGGACAGCCCCCCCCCCCTCCAGCTGTGGGGAGGGGCTCTGCTCCTGCTTTCCTTGTGCTTCCCCCAGGGTCTGCAGGTAGTCAGTGATCTGGAGCTTCCCACCTTGAAGGGTGGAAGCAGACTGTGCTGGCCCCCAAATCCAAGGACTCTCCTCTCCTCCCTTGGCCATGGGGGTTTCCTCTGGTGACGTGGGCCAGGTGTCTTCTGTGAAACCTGCCTGTTGAAGAGAGGGAGCTGGAGGGTCCAGGAGGGCCTTAGGAGGAAAACATAGCCCCACGTCTGATGGGCTCACACTGTGGATCATTAGCAGACCAGCTGCGAACCGACAACAAGTGCTCTGAGCATTTGACTCAGTAAAACCCTGCTCACTCTCAGGCTGCCTAGGGCACAGTGCCCAAGCAGCGGCGTGGAAGCTGGCATCTCAGAAACGGAAGGCGAGGCACAGGGAGAGAGGCTTGTTGCATCCAAGAGGACTCGTGTTTTTTGGAAACGGTAATCGAGGACTGAATCTCAGGCGGAGTGGATACCTGCCTGGTCAGGCCTCTTGGCTGAAAAATGTGAATTTGTGTCGTTGGCTTGTTTGTTCTCCAGAATCATCCCAGGCTGGGAAGGGACCCCAGTGACTGCCTTGTGACAGAGCAGACAGAACAGCACGTTCACCTAGCTCCAACCGTCAGGGAGTTTTTCTTGACCTCCAGCTTCAGGTGGCCTCCCTGGGATGTCCCCCCATTCCTTCCAGGTCTGCTCTCTGGGGCCCAGGGAAGGCATACCTAATCCCTCCTGTGAGAGATGACTTTCACGGTCTCTTTATAATAAGCAAGGGGTAGGAGCTTTAAAGGGAAGGGCCTTTCATCTGGGATTGATAGCCACTAGGAAAGCCAAGGAGTTGGTGACTTGCCTGTGGTCGGTCCTAGAGTCCTGGATGTAGGAAGAGGCCTTAGGAACCACCTTGTCCAGCCCCTCGTTTTACAGATGAGGAAACTGAGACACAGAGATGTGAAATGACTTGTAATAAGTGAGTGGGAGAGGTGGAGTTCAGACTCAGCCCCTTGGGGCAGCTAGGTGGTATATTGGATAGAATACCAGCCCTGGAGTAAGGAGGACCTGAGTTCAAATCCGGCCTCAGACACACAACACTTACTAGCTGTGTGACTCTGGGCAAGTCACTTAACCCCAACTGCCTCACCAAAAACAAAAAACAAAACAAAACAAAAAACCAAACAGACTCAGCTCCTCTCACTGTCTAACCCTGCCCTTCCTGTCCCTGAGGTGAGTTTGGACAAGGCACCCTCCTCCTTCTGGGATCCTGAAAATCACAGACTGACCTTCCTAGGTGAGAATGGATGGGTGCTGGTTACAGTGCGGGGAAGTCTGGGGCGAGGCCCAGTTGCAGTGGTTGTTTGATGGCTCAGCTCACAGGGCAAGGCCCGGGCTTTGCTAGGGGCTCGGTCTCTGTCTGGCCATGCAGTGGCACAGTCCCCTTACGTGGCCCAGAAAGCACCTCTTCACTCTGAATAGGTCAGGGCTGCTATCAAGTTGAATTGGACAAACTCGACCATGCTCAGCATCTGAGAAGATCAGGTCGCATCTCTGCAGAAGCGGTGATGGCATCAACGTAACTGTGCCTGAGCACACGCACTGGACAGACAGGAAGGGTGGACACAGGCCAGACCATCTTAGTGGCCCCCGTTGCCCCAGAGTGGCTGATGGCTAACGATGAGCATCTCCCAGAGACCATGAGGAGGCCCACCCCGTGGGACCACCGAAGGGCTCTGGAGAAGGCCAGAGTAAAAACCTAATCAGGAAATTGTATGACAGAGACAGGATGATGAGACGTGAATCGATCCACTGGCATGGTTGAGGGTCTGTTTCCATCCACCTTGAGACTCCACATCCCTGGAAATGGTAAAGGCAGCTTGAGAAAGAAAGCTAAGACGACATCATGTGTGCTTAAAGATATCGGCAGATCTCAGGCTGAAAAAACAGAGGTTCTAGAGGAAACGCTGAATCTTTATATATAATCCTGTCCATAACGTACAAAGGTTTAATCATTTGGCCAAATGTGCTTAAACCCCAACACATGCAGTTTTAAAACGGCAAACTTGGCTTCGTTGCTGATGAACAGGGACATTGTCGTTTCCAAACCAGTGATTTCCAAGAGGGCCAGAGTCCTATTTGTGAATGGGGTGTGAATGGGGCTCTTGGGACCAGAGAATTAAGATTGAAAACGGAGAAGAGCCCTTTCCTTTAGATTTATAGATTTGAAATTGCTGGATAAGATCACAGGCCAACTCTTAGCATTTTTTATACTTAGCATATATTTAACAGCAAGTCACATTTAAAAAGACTTGTTTCTCTAGGGTTGTGGTATAGCCTAGTGAAAAAAGCTTATACCTTATCATGCACGTGAAGAAAAGGAATTCTGTAGGACTGAACCTTCTGACTCCAGCATGCGTCATTTCTGTTACTGTAACATGCCTGTTTAAATTCCACTCACGGTTCTCTGGGAGAAAACCTTGTTCTCCAGCCAAAGGGGAATGAATGGGCCAAGCCTTTAGTGAGTGCTAAGTGCCACACAGAACCTGGGCCTGCTGCTTCCCCCGGGCTCCGCATCCCCCTCATTGTTAGCGGCCTGGCTCTCTGTCAGTCCTGCACAAAGTAGTGAGTGGCAGTTGTGATGAGGGAGGTCAGTGTGTGGAACGCTTTGGGATCCATGGTGCTCTGCAGACCTTGCCCCGCCCTGTCTTTCACCCGGCTTATCCCTCCTGGCCTCTCTGGCTCCTGGTGATGTTGAGTCAGATGACAGCAAGCTCAGGGAATGGGTCTGCTGAGGAGCGTGCTTTGTAATCAGTCAGAGATGCCTCTGTAGGCAATGAATGAATTGGCCCATGTTGGAGAAGAACATGAGAAGCAGAGCCTGCCTGGAAGGAGCTTCTGTTCTCTTGCGGAGCTGGCAGGCACACATAGAAGTACGTGTGAAAGGCGTCACAGCAGAGCCGGTGCGTGAGCAGAGTCTTGGAGGAAGAGCAGGAGTGTCAGAGATGAAGTGAGGAGGGAATTCATCCCAACCGTGAAGGACATCAGTGCAAAGGGAGAGAGGCCAGGCCCTGAGGCAGGGCTCAAGGCCATCAAGATCTGATTTCAGGTGCAGGGCGCTAGCTGTGTGACCCTGGGAAAGCTACTTCACTGCTATCTGGCCCAGGGATAACAATGGCATCATCCTCCTGGGTTGTTGTGAGGACCAAAGGAGATAGTATTTGTCTAGAACTTAGCCCAGTGCCAGGCATGCAATTGATGATACATAAATGCCTTATGTTTGCTAGCTCTTCTTCCATTGAAGGGACAGCGAGGCTGACGGTTCCACTTCCAGGAGTCAAGATGGCGGCGTAAGAAGCAAGTCGCTCTCACCCTCCCTCATTGACCTCTGAAAGCCCAGAAAATATCGACCCAGGAAA